ACAGCACTGAGAATCTAAAGCTGCTTCCGCATGAGTTCGATTCCCACCTGCCCCAGAGGTGACCACCATGGCGTGGCAGACCTCTAGTGACCCGCCCACTGCTCCCCTCAGCAGTGTACTTTATCGATCTGCCTGCTCTGCTCCCCACTCTGTCTCTGGTGCAGCCTCTCACCACCCCTGAGCCTCTCACCTGTACCCCAGTTCTGTATGCACAAATAAATCTTTAAAAAAAAATAAAATAAAAAATAATCACTCAGATGTTTAAGTGAATTGCTGTGCAGAGCTGCCCTAGGGAGTACCAAAGCATTGCTTTGCATTTTCCAGCTCGCTATTCCTCAGCTCTAACATGGAAATAATCTGGCAAGCAATGTCAGTGCAAAGCTTCTCACCAGCAACACTATGGAAATGTTGGGCCAGATAAGTGCTGTGGGAAACCCTCCTGTGAACTGTGGGATGTTTACTGCATCGCTGGCCTCTACCCACTAGACATTAGCAGCACTGAACCCCTCCCCAACTCAGGAACCAGACAACCAAAAAATGTCTCCATGCAACACCAAGCATCCCTTAAGCATTAAAATGGGACAGGACACATTTTGGAGCTTGATAAGGTAGACTCAATGGGAAGAAGAAATAGATTAAAAGCATCAAAGACTATTCCAAGAGGCAATAGGCCAAGTGTAAGACAATGAGCTTGCCCAAACCTTAAAATGTTCAACATAACAGCACACTCTAGGCTAAATCAACACCAAAATAAAAAATACTTATCAAATGAACAAATGGATAAGCCCAAAGTAGTCTCTAAAGTAACCCCCAACACAGGTAAGGTTTTGATAAATGTCCCAAGAAATAACTAAAGGAATCACTGTTTAATAAAAGCTGTGTGGTGACAGGATATTAATGCAAGGAAAAATTAATTTTTAACCTGTACATTCGCTTGGGTTGGAAAAGTGAAATCTTAAAGCTCAAATAAGAGAAACACTAGAGAGAAAACAATTTTCTAAACATCAGGCCTGCCGTCTCAGAACAGTAAAGTTTGGTGGTGGCTTTTGTTATGGGTGAGATCTGTGGGAGGACATCTGATCATACACTTCAAGGGCCATTTCCCTTTGACCCAGACCCCAGTAATCCTAACCCTAAGGACATAATACAATATATATATATATACTTGTATAAAATCTTATTATTCTGTAGTTACAGTTATAACTATATGGCTATACAATGATATAAGTAGTTATATGAAGTTATTAGTTATACCAGCAAACATTGGAAACAACCTAAAAATTTCAAATAAAGTATGAGCTTACAAAATGAAAAACCATTTTGAGGAGTTACTGTAAAGCTATCAGGAATGCCAATGGCATCATCCCATAGTAGATTTGGGGACAAAAGATCCAGCCCTATCTTTTACAATCCTTCAATCACCTTCTGAAACAGACATTTAATACAGCCCTCTCAGAACTGCTGTGAACATTAAAAAGATAACGGGTATAAAAGGATCCTCAAAGCTCTGAAACACAATCAACATATCATGAATAATTATTATAAAAATGAAAATTATTTGGAAATATGAGAACATACATACTAAATAATATAAAATGAAAGAAAATAGCACATGAAAGAGTGTGTGTGTGTGTGTGTATATATATATATATATATATATGTATATATATATAATGTGATGATTATGGTTTTTTCCATAGGATGTCAGCATTCAAGTCAGATTTCTCTGGCTAATACTGCTTGAACTGCTGGACACTCAGATTAAATGTCATGACCTTCCATTCTAAATTAAGTGCCTATCCACTGCCTGGTACTATCTGACATGGTGCTATCATTTGTCTATTTTTTTTCTTCCTAACACTTATCACTGTATATAGTTATTTATATTAACATGTTAAATTTTATTTAAATAAATAAAATTATTTATTATTTCTTATCTGCTTCCCCCACTACCCTGTAAAATTCCCTAATAGTTCTTAAGTAAGGAGTTTTCATTTTAATTTGATAACTTATTGTCATCAAACAATGCCCACATTCTAACAATTTATTAGAATTACCTAATTCCCAGTCACAGGACTACTAAGATATAATGAGCAAATTAATTCCAAAAGCAAGAAAAGAGGCCTTACGGTCATACTCTGTCCCCTCTGTGCCATGAGACCTTGGTATGTAGCTTAGCCAAAACCTAGATGAAGAACCTAAGAACTCTGAAGGCCCTCGTCCTCCTCCCTGTCCCAGGCCCTGTTTGTGCTGAATGAATACCACCCACACAAGTGAACTGCTACTTTGAACTCAAACTGAGCTTTGCACCCAATTTTCGCAACTCAATTTCAATGCATTCTTTGCCCAGTAAGAAAAGTGGAGACCTGTTCCTTTTCCTAAACCTCATTGGTTGTCCCATGAGTCTGCACAATGGGGGCACCAGATAGGTCCCCAGAATTTATCAGCCAAGAAAGACGCAGAGCAGAAGTGCAACCATCTGCCTTTCAATAGGGTTGATCTGGGGTATACTGAGCAGCTCCCAGCTTTTACATAGTTCTTTCTTCTTGGCAGCAGCATACAAGGTTCCTAGAGCAAAGGAGCCTCTTTGAGACCTACAAACTAATGACCCAGTTAACACTTTTACCACACATTCAGCAAATAGTTATTAAGAGTGTCCATGATGCTAGGCTCAGGAGCCACATGGACTGACTCCAGGATGTCAGAAGAGGGAAACATGCAATGAATTCCCATACATTTGGGGCAAGCACTATCATGGAGCTGTTAACCCTTTCCTACCAATGGGCAGGACTGATTCTGATTATGTTAACATCAGGGCACCAGAACTCTTAACAGATTCTATTAACCAGCATAACTTAGAAAGCCAGCTAATTAGAATCCAGTTAAACTTTAAATGCTGATAAATCAAAACCTGCTTTAAAAGTCCTGTGCCAGGAAACTGGTTCTGGTGCTATTTCCATAATTGAGCCATTCTGGACCCCTATGTCCTCTCTCAAGTCCCAGCTGCAGCAACTGTACAGGGGGGCAGGCCAGAACTTTCTAGCTCTCATAATCTAAACATCTGCAATCAGAAATAAACCACATTTCTTTGCCTCTAGCTCAGCCTAAAACTAGGTGAGAAATCTTTCTTTCTGGTTCAGCAAAATACACAGAAATCAGGAAGGGAACAAAAAGGATAAGCTAGCAGGTAGTGCTGTATTATCTAAAAAAGCTCTTCTGTCAGGCTGTTGGGTCCTTATCTTCTCCTTCAACAAGAAATCTGCCAAAGGCTAAAATTGCCTTGCCTAATCCTGCCTATCTCGTGAATCTCAACTCTTTTAAAAACCATAAGCAATATTGGGCAAGAACAAACAAATTCAACACCAGTAGAGACTGGCTTGGTCTGGGTGTCCCAACCCCACATCCTGTTCCAGGACCCTATGCTCCAGATTCTGTGGCCGAACTTGGGGAAAACCCTTCCCTGTTTTGTGCCTCAGAGTTCTCATCTGTAAAATGAATGGTTAGGGCTGTATTACCCTTGAGTGCTCCTTTCATTGTTAAGAAGATACAATTCTCTGCACTACTCAATAATAGCTAAGGGACACACCATAGCAGTGAACTATCCATGGTGTGAGCTGTTGCCAGCAGAAGAAGCAGGGACCACACTACACACAAAAGATGAACACACGTGGCTCGGGAATGCCAGGGTTTGGGGAAAGACATGGGAGGAAGAGGGAAAGGCAAGGATGGGTTCAGAAACATTAAGATTTTGAGACTCAGGATAGAAAAAAATGACACTACTGTAAAGCAATTTCACATAGTGGGTTAGAGTCCCAACTCTAGAGTCAGACTCTCTGAATTTCAACCCCACACGTGCTTCTGACTAGTAATGCAGGCCCTCAGATATATCCTTCATCCTGTCTCTCTACTTCAAGTTCCCTAGTCACAATTCAAAGTGTCTCATGGGGTATGTGCTACAGAAATGCAGTGCAGAGCACATGGGAAGTCATTCTGAGTGTTTATTTTATTATTTTATTATATAATATTATGTTTTGTGCTTTACTACTATTATTATTAAAATAGATAGGATTCTAAAAAAATCACCAAAAAAAAAAAAATAGGATTCTACTTTAGTAATTCTTATTCCTACTCTCTTCCTAGAGACCTTGGGAGCCAGATCACTAGTACTTGTGATTACTTGTATCTAAACAAAATCAGTTTTTCTCATACTAAAATAGAGAGATGATTGATAGACAAATTTTAGAGTATACATTCTTTCACAGAAAAATCTTAGAATATAAACATTCTTATGTGTACATATATTTATGCATATATATATTCTTATGTTCTTGAAATATTACATGTCAGTTCCTTGAGAGAATTTTAAGCACTTGTGTTTTCAATGGTCATGTAAACAAATTTAAATAAACATATCTGGATTTCTGAACACCTTCTTCATAACTAGTTCTGGCACGATTTCAAAGCCCAAGTTTACATATTCGTGTTTGTGGCTGGCAGCAATAAAATTATAGCAGACTAATGAGAAAGGAACAGATGTAGATGCAATGTAGGAATGATGAGATGAAGGTCACAGGGAAAACAATTGGAGAACTGAATTGTTAGCACAAGTATAAGATTACTCAAACTCAAAGGATCAGCATTATAGCCTTCAGTGCCATAGTCAATTTACTACTTCTAATCTGTTTCAACTAAACAAAGTCAGCTGTCTTACTATATTAATTGGAAGAATTTGAATTATACTGGTTTTATGATTTTGTTTGCATTTAATTTGTAAGTCTGTGGGGAATCACATGATTATATAATAGCCTGAAAATACAAGGAATTTATATATAAGGAATATATGCAAGGAAAATATATACTTTTCACATATGTACATATTTAAGTAACATTAAAATAAAAAGTTTAGTAAACACAAGGAGACCTTAATGTTTTCATGCATTTAAAGAAGCACCAAGCATTACTGTAGTTTGAGAAATACTGACTTGAGTTCCCTCCAATGTCCCTTATCACTCTAAGAAAGATGATCATTTTGGTTACAGTGTGTTAAGCTTTATTAAGACAGTCAAGTCAGGAAACAGGGCAGTGTGGGAAACACACTTAGCACTCCAGAGAGGAGCATCTGAACACAGGGTGAGGGATGAGATATCTATTCAGACAGAAAAGAAAAGGTAACACCTGCACGTCAAGGTGTCTACTGTGCTTTATTGACCTCACCTTACTCTCTGGAAAAAACATCAATCATATGCACATTAAAGATGATCTTCTCACGATTACTCAAAGAATCATTGCCTTGTCTGAAAACAAATGGCTTAAAATCCTCCACAGAAATACAACTTTCAGTTATATTCCTCCAGGTTTGCAGTTTCTACTGACACTGCACTGTTCAGATACTGATCTCCAAGAGCTGGACCATTCTCTCCCAGAAAGGGGCTCCAGTAGGTGCTTTTGGACAAGGTAGGTGGCCCCCGGGGCTGAAGCAAAAGTCAAGGGTAGGAGGACCGGGGACAGTTCTGTGACAGATTCTGGATGTCAGAACACTGGGAACAAGCACAAACCAAGCTAATATTCCTGTCTGGTTGCAAATCTCCCCTCTGTGTGGTCATGCAATCAAGACCACACAGCCCTGAGTCCACTTGGGTTAGACTTGTCCAATCACTTTGAGGAAACTGAGACTTCCTTTCCTCCCGCCTCCAATTCCAACTTAAAACCATGAAGAAAAGCGTAGGAGAAGCCCGAGAGAAACCCAAGCTTACTGTTTGTCTTCTTCTGAAAGTGAGGTTCTTCCACAGCAGCAACCTCAACTGAGGCCAACAAGCCATGCTGCCTCAGCTGGCACGCAGAGCAACCGGCGTGTGGCTCAGGAGCCGCGGGGCCAGGGGCTGGAGCTCACAGCACGGAGGCTGTGGCTGGTCATGAACTGAAAGATAAAGCAGAAGGGGAGAGCACCGTCAGTCAGAGCTGCAAAGTCATAGTGAGGGCTGTTGCTCCAGTCCCCTCACCTGAAACCTCAACACCCGGTCTGCATCATGATTGATCTCTAGGGTCATAAGTCCCCAACGTCCAACCATGGGGTTTTCTATTAAACAGGAATTCTGGGAGCTGAACGGAGGCAGGCTGGGAGCTAGTCCTTAAGAGTCCTGATCATTTTAGCTCCATTGTTAATGAAAAATGCACTATGCAAGCAGACTTAAGTGAGCAATCTTAGGTGTTCAAAATACCATGGTTGCAAATGGCAACCAGAAACTGCCTGTTCTAAGGATGTCAGCAGCATTACAAATTTTGTCTTAGAACCTGGAATGATTTAGGCTATTCTCTGAAATTTACTGCAGACTACATTTTCATTTGGCCAGTAAGTTGAGTGCTTTCATTGATAAATGGCACCATAAATAGTTTCCCAGTCTGAAAAAACACAGTATGTTTTAGCTGACTGTGAATAAACACTGAGGAAATGCCACCAACAACTGGTTCCCAGGTGATGAAGACAACTGCAATGCTGTGTCTGTGGAAAGAAAACAATGTTCTGAGGAGAAACAAGTCCACCGAGGCAGGTAGAGAGCACACCTGTTAAGCCAACAAGCTCCCACTGTCCAGACATTTGCCAGAACTGATCCTGCTGCCTGCACCTGCACAAGGGGCTGGCTACTCCTTGTCAGGTATTACAAGTGCTTCTTGGAGGACTGTTTTATCATTATGGGAAAAAGGACATTCTCATCAACAAGAAATGGACACATTCTATATGTCCATCTGCCCACTGAACAACTTTATTTTATGTAACACTAGAAAATTCCAAAGAGTTGTACTAAATTAAATTGGGGAGGGGGCAGAAAATGAAGAGTGGGAAAAGGGAAGGATGCTAGGTTAAAGCAAGGCTCTACTGCACTACTGAGACATTAGCAGAAATCAGAAACCAGCTTTACTTCTACAATTCACTCAATCCATCACTGCCACCTCTAGTACAGTATGAGAAATAAACAGCAAAAAACCGAGCTTGGAAAGCAGTGGTCGCTTGTGGATACACAACTGAACACTCAACTAAAATCCTAGGTGTCCAAATCAGATCTCAATGCAAAAACCACTAGCAGGAGTTTGCCCTTTCCACCACCCTATAGGATATGATTTAAAACTTCCAGAGATTTGAAAAATGAAAAAGAGGCCCTGCCTGGTGGTGCAGCGGGTGGGAGCTCAGCACTGCAAAGCTGGCCAAGGCAACTTCAGTTCGAGTTTGATTCCCAACCCCAGAGATGACCACATGGTGCAGCAGACCTCTCCTGACCCTCCCGCTGCTCCCCTCAGCAGTGTACTTCATCAATCTGCCTGTCCTGATCCCCACTCTGTCTCTGGTGAAGCCTCTCACTGCCCCTGCACCTCTGGTCTGTACCCCAGTTCTGTATGCATAAATAATCTTTTTAAAAAATGAAAAGGAAAAAAAACAACTTCTAGAGGAAAAAAATAGATTAAAGGGAGTTTTACATGTCTAAAAGAATGAATGACACTACTAGTAAATGGTTGAATTCATTCATTGACAATCTAACACATCAGAAATTCCTCTTAAGTGTTCAAGGCTTAGGACCTATTTCTTTTCTTTATCATTGCTCAGCAAACTTCTAAAGAGGACTGAGCCTCAGTGTTTCTCATGTCAAAAAGAAAAGTTAAAGCAGCACTGCATCAGCTTGCAGTTTGTTGCTTAAAGATGCCCACTGCCCTCAAGCACTGAGAGCCAGATGTCACTGCGAGATGTTCATAATCCCAAATTGCTTTGTAAGTGATATAGGTTAGGGTTTGCATTCTATAAATGCTGAAATAAATAATTAGCTAATTTTTTTTTTCATACAAAAGCTGCTCTCTAGAAATCACTTGGCTGATTTAGAAACCACATGCAACTTCTCATCTCCCCAATGTTACAATCAGGAGAGTGGAACACAACTTTGTAATTAAGTAGGGGAAGTTAACCTATAGGAAGAGCACAGTCATGAATTAGCCCATATCCCAACAATATGTCCTTGGCCAAACTTTATGCTCTCTGAGCATGGACTTCTCGTTATAAAATGCCTACTTTGCATGCTGCTTTAAAGATTAAATGAGATAACATGAATAAATGTATTTATATCTACACAGTACATGGCACATTGTAAATACCAAAAAAATGAGTTATTTTCTCCTTTTCTGTTCTATCAGTACCCTCTAGCAGTCAATGGCTATATCCTGTCCAAACAATGTTTTCTCTTCTATTATTTCCAGCAATTCCATAATGATTTCCAGAAAGAAAGGAGGGCAATATAGGAAAGATAAAATCTTAATAGACTAGTGTTGGAGACCCCAGAGCCAAACTAGGCCAAACTAGAGCCCAGAATCCCATAAACCTGAGTAGATAATATAAGAGGAAAAAAAAAAAAGACAAACCTCTATCAAGTGTTCCAGAGAAGAGAAGGACCAGGAGAAGGAGGTGTTTTGTTTTGTTTTTTGTTTTTTTGTGGAGAGCACTCCCCTTGGTATAAAGTTTTTAGTATAGGTTCTGCCCCCAGGAGCCTTCCAGGAGATATGCGGAGAAGGTTAGCAAGTAGCTCAGAGTAGCAGCAGAATGTTCTTTCCTCTCTGGCTTATGCTGGGTGTAGGCAGGCTTTCTGCCCCAGTCTCCCCACCCACCTTGGCTTGGTTCTGGCCACCTGCAAAATTCCCTCCTCTCACTTCAGAACACAGTAATCAATGTTGGGAGCAATGCTGTCCAAAGAGGAATGTTTGGCAATGCTCAAACCCCTCTGCTCAGGTAACTGAAGCCAAAGGGACATTTCTACATCAGTTTTCCAAGGAAGTGAACAAACAAACCAAAACCAAAGAAGGCAGTATTATGTACTAGATTTCTCAATGTTTCAAAGCAAGTAGCACACCCACTTCTGTCCTGATGCACATTCCAGTTACTGGCTGGAAAGGGTCCACTTCCCAGTCATCGCCACTCACTCACATCCCAATTGTGGTTGAACACACAGCCTCTTCACTGATCTCCCTGCCTCTAGTCTCCTCCACCCCCATCCATTTATCACAAAGCAAGCAAAGTTACTGGACTAAGCCAAACGCCCAACCAAGGCACTTCCCCACTAAGCACCTCTTGCCAGGTCCTTACTGCCCTTTGGGTGAAGTCTAAGCCTCCCCAGGCCTCACCCTGAGGTCTCTACTTCCTGTCACCACTTCCTACCTCCTAATGAAGTCCTGGAGAGTAGCTGCAGGCTCTGAATGGCCTCTCTCCCTACTACCACTGGGGTTTCCTGGTACATTTTCTATGTTAAAACACTTTCTAGGAGTTCTGACAACCTTAGTCTTCCCCTCACATTCCTTTCTTGATCCTCTCCCAGACCTCACAGCTGGGTTAGGAGTCCCTTGTAGATCTTCCCACAGCAGCCTCAGTTTTTCCTTGCAGGGTTTCTTCCACATTCTAATTCCAAGCAGGGCAATTTCTATTTTCTTTGCCAGTCTTTTTCCCTAGTATACCAAATGGTACCTGGTGTGTAGTAAGCACTCGGGGAATGTTTGCTTAATTAATTAAGAGATGGACATGAAATTTAGGGTTTCACAATTTAAGGGTGGTAGCATTCCTATAGCTGTGGTAACTGATTTCTCAAGCTTGATTAATGGATTCAGGCAAATTGTCCCCAGAGGGAGCTCTGTATTCAGCAGGTTTCCACGACACACTTGTGAAGGCCACAGCGGACTGCTGAGCTTTCCAGATGACTGCTGGGGCACACCTGGGACATTGTAATTGATTCTCACTTGGCTTTCTATAAACAGCAACAGAGTCATGAAATCTGTTGATGTCCCAGGTCTGATGAGATCCATCCGTCACCTAGATGGATCACTCTTTACCAAAATTTAACATTTTTCCCTCCCAACCTTCTTTGTACAGTGTGAACTTAGCAGAAGTGACTGTTCAAACCTTTAACCATTTCCTCAGAAATTTTCACCTCTAATTCCAATGATATTTTAAAATTGTTGATATCTTCAGAGTATAGCAGACTGCTAAAACATCACCTCAAATAAGTAAAAGGTGTTCAACATCATTAGTTTCAGAGAAATGCAAACTGAAACCAAAATGAGACACCAATAAACCACTACAAAAAACTAATAAATTTCAAAATGTTAGCAAGTACATGGAGCGACTGAAATTCTCACACAGTCTTAGTACTCACACCCCAGGCAGGAGTCTCTCTTAGGTAGGAGTGCAAAAATGGAGCATTCACTTTGTAAAGAAGTTTGGCAGTTTTCAAAAATCCTCGCCTTTTAGTATAATAATTAACATACCCCATAAGTCCAGTCATGCCTTGGAAAATCTAACTCTTCATAGTATAAAGCTTGATTATTTTGATTCCTGAAGAAGGTAAATGGTGGATAAAATAGTCACCACTAGTTCATTCAACAAACAACAGCAAACTTAACTCTACAAGACACACATCAGCCACAACAATGCTTTTAGTAAGAGACTTTCTGTTCCAGATACTGTTCTAGACACAAGACTTTCAACTGTGAACAAAAGCACCAAAGCGTTTGCTCTCCTGGGACATCTATTCTAGAATGGAGGTAAAAAAACAAAAACAAAAACAGACAAGTTCACAATGGGTTGTTAAGGCATTGAATGGTAGGAATAAGGAAGAAAAATAAAGCAGAATAAAGGGAGAAAGTAAATGCGGGAGTCACTCTTTCTGAAGTACCTTAAGGACAATGACATAAGAAAGTAGGCCATATGCCTACAAAAAAAAGTGTCACCACAAAAGTGTCACCAAATAAAATTTTAAGTTAAATGTATTAACCTCTATTTTTTTCATCGCATTACTTTGTATTGACGTAACATTGGTTTACAAAACTATAAAGATAGGTCTGCTTTTCATAAATACCATATTTTATAATTATTTTTTTCTAGTAAGGACATAA